CCCTGGGGGGGGGCGCGCAGCCTCAGGCCCGGGCTTCGGGCGGGAACTGCAGCCCGGCGGGACCGGGCCTGGCCCTCCCGGGGCCGGGGGCGCGGGGCCTGCCCGCCCTGCCAGCCCCCCGGGCGGGGGCAGCGCCGGGACACCGGGGAAGGGCTCTGGGAACCCACCTCTCCTCAGCAGCTCGAGGAAATTCATATTTCATGTTCTGCTCCTTCACTGCCCACGGAGTTCTTTCTCGTGGTGGTGCGTAGGTGTATGTGAGGGATTTATCCTTTCCCCCACTGAATCACTGCAGCACAACATCTTTTCAACCCTTCTGTACAGCAGAAAAGAGCCTCGTGGCATTTCTCCTCGTTTTCCTGCTTCAGGAGGCAGCTGGTGATCTCCCCAGCACGACCCAGCCACCCCAGCGGGAGGGCTCCCAGGCACCACCACCTTCCACCCCCGCCATGCAGCCAGCGTGGGCTTGCTAAGGATGCTGCTATTTCAGCTGGAAAATCTCCCCCTGCCCAAGGGAAGGGGTGAAGCAGAGTCTCCTGAGCACAGTGTGCTCTCCTCCTCGCTGCCCTGGGAGCCCTGATCACATCCCAGTCACTGCAGTAGCAGGCGTCGGTGCTTTACCTAGGGACCGCTGGAAGACAACCCATCCCCACATCTGAACCTGGTGGTTGTGTATGTCTCCCCCATTTTGAAAAGAAAATTAAATGTGGAGGAAATTAGTTCTGCAGTGGGTGCCACAGGCAAAGCCCTCACTGGGAGTAAAGGCACAGCCATGAGCAGGTGCTTTCCCTGCAGACCCTCATATACATTGCTTAGCTGGAAAAAGAAAGATGCAGGAGCTTTAGGCAGGTAGCCAGCAATACCAATTAAAATGAGTTTTTTCAGCTTCATGAGAAAGAGAAATCTCCTGAAACTTCAGATTAACATTAATGATCCTTCTGTCATATTTGTTCAATCCAACACTGCTTTCCAGCTGAGGACCTTACAGTGTTAAGCTTCACAGTAGCTTGATGAGACAATGAATCTGGTGGGCCTGACACAAGGCTGCAGGCCCTAGTAGGACCTCACTGGTACAACATCACTTCTGCCAGTCACTGCTCAGCTCAGATTAAGCTAAAAAAATTAAATATAAGCTAAAGATTTTACAGTTATACTTGTGTGCATTCTGGAAGATCAATAAAGAACTTGTGGTATATTCTGTCCCATCATTGCACCTTTAAGACAACAGTGCCTCGCTCCTTCCTTCCTCCTCCTATTGCTGCTCCCAAAATAGAGCAAGATCACACTGGAAGTGCAGACAGAAATCAGCAAACAAAGCTACTGGTTCAGATATCCCACATTTAATCTCTGGGCTGGGAGTAGGCAGAGGGATTGCTCCCTACTCTACCTACCAGGCCAAGCAGATTGTTCCCTCTGCTCTGAAGGACACCTGACATCTGGGTCATCTCAGCAACCCAGTTTTCTGAAGGTTTTTGGTGGGGTTCCCCACAGGCTGTGCAAATAATGAGGCCATCCATTAATGAGGATTCAACCACAAGAGCAGGAAAAGGCTTCCTCCAGCAAGAGCTGCAGTTCAAGCTACTCCCTCCTCCCATAGCCCTAGAAAATTAACATCTCCATTTAGAAAACAATTAAAAAAAAAAAAAAAAAAGAAGGAAAAACCCTGGGGAAACTACAGAGTTCTCACGGTGAATTTTATTTTGTAAGCAACAATATAAACAAGTGAATAAGAACAGGCATCATTTGCAGGGCTGGGCTTTGATCCACAGTATCCTGAATCTAGCAACCCTCCGAGAGCAGATGAGGGCAAGCCCTCACCTGCAGCTCCAGATGCTAGCCAAGTTGCAGTTCACCAAGACCTTTGTCATGGAAAGACCAATGCTTGAATATTTGCTATGACCAAATGTATGTGCAATCTTGAAATGTAACCCCCTCCCTACCCCTCCCTCCCCAGTTAAAAAAGAAAAGATACAGCTGCAAACCTGTAAAAAAAAAACTGTTTCTGGCTTATTGAGACTGAAATGGCCTGTTGGACTATAAACTGAAATATTCTAGAGATAACCAACTGGTTGTGACACAAAGTACTGTATTTACAACTCAAAAATATAACTGTTATATACTTTAATTTATAGCAAATTTAATACATTAGTGTTTACAAAATAAATTCTGGACTCAACTGAAACAGCGTGCTGCTTAGCAAGTTCTTCCTTCCTCTCACTTTAATCAAAGAGACCAGCAAGCTTATGAGCTTCTCCTGTGATTCACACACAGCTTCTGATCATGCCAGATGTTGAAAAAACCAGAACACTTCCTGCATCTCTCAGGTCTTGTTGCTTGGTACCTTCTATCACTCCAACTGAACAGTTCAACCCTTAAGCTGTCCTTTAACAAGTTCCATACACATCTCATGAAAGCTACTCAGATACTAACCAGGGCACTGGCTAACGTTACAAACTGAAGAAATATCCGTATTACTAGCTCACACAACAGGAAAGAGGAAATATAACTACACATTCAATCTCTTATTTCTAACAGCAAAGCTGCGAACTCCATTGCTTAAAGATATTTCAGTAAGTGAAACAGTACCATACAGTTCAAGAAACATTTTTTTAAAAAAAAACCAAATATTTTAATAGTATAAAAAGTTGTTTACTGGTGTTCCTACTATAAAGCTTTGTTCCACAAATCAAAAGTGATAAAACAATTAGATATGTTTACAGTGGTAAGAGACTGCAGTGTAGACATTTCAGCTCACATTTTGCTGACAGTACAACGTAGACTGTGACTGCATCATTAATACACATCTTAGACACAGAGCAAACTGCAGACATGAAGTGCACACCTGAATATGGAAGTTTACCCACTGGCATGATAACTCACTTTCTTCAGCTCTCCCTTTCCTCTCCAGAACACGTTGTAGGCAAAAACTGTATTCAGAAACTAAGGCATATAACTGTTTTGACTGCTGGAGAGCAACTCTTATTGAGGGAGTTGCACAGAGGAAAAATGGATGCACACAAACACTCCCTGCTGAATTCCAAAGTTATATGCCAACTATTTGTCCTTAGATAAAATGACATCTGCAAAAGTGAAAATGTACAAAAAATAAAAACTGTCAAATAAATAAAGAATACAGATGTTAATCACATATATAAAGAAAGGTATTGGCATACTGTATGCAGTATACGGTATATTCATAGAATCATGTGGGCTGGACAGCACTTAATAAGGAGTCACATGCTAAAGACACAACTCCTTGTCTCTCTCCTCCAAAAGATCTCATGGTTTCTAGGTATCAAGTGCAACTTTTTACACCAATGCATAAATCCTGCATCATATTTCATCTTTGCCACGCCTAGGATGCATTTTTTTCTTTTTTTCTCTCCTTTTTTTTTTTTTTTTTTTTTTTTTTTTTTTTTTAAGATCCACAGAGAAATCCAAAAAGTTAAAATGGTCTCAATCACAATTTTTGTAGCCCTATCCATGCTACTTGGTCTCTTGGGATTCCTACCAAATGAGGTTTTAGTAATTGCACGGTACATCAAACCACAGTTTTCCCCAACCAAAATGGGAGCCAGTCATATGGACTGTTCCATACTCCTGTCCCATACACTCCTGGACTGTAGGTGGGCATGATGCTATAAGTGTGTTACACAAAGGCTGCTGAATGTAACGCTAGTTAAGTGTCAAGAACGTCTGCTATAATACAGAGTCAGGGTCTAGGTCTATCAAATGCTATATTCCACATAACATTTTAAACCATGAAATATTTTATGTGTTTTCCTTTTTTTTTTCTACAAATATTGTTGCAAACTTGCTGTTAATTGTGTCACGAGGTTCGCATTCCTAATTCTCCAAGGATTTTTAATTCAAATGTTTAACAACCGTATCTACGCTAGGTACACTTAAAAGTAGACATTGAAATTTCAAGTAAAATGAACTGTAGCCACATCTACTGGACTCAATACACGTCCCGACATCTAGATTTACTTTGATAAGTTATACAAATACATAATACATTCTTAAATAATGAAGACCCACAATATTAATTTGTGAATCTTCCCACGCTATAAAACCACTTTTACAGGAATGTTTATCCACCTGTATTACTGTTTTAGTTTGCAGTGTCTCTTGCTTTCCTGTTTCCACAGATTAGCGTACCAGTTCTTAGGCTTTGGCTATTGAAATCTCTTATTTGGATGAGGCAACACTGGTTATTAAGGCTGTTTGTTTTTTTCTCTTGAAGTTTCATTCTTTACTACGACACCATTTGCCACAGCAGAATGACTATCTTGTGTCTTCAGGTTCTGTTTTTATGACCTTCCTTTCTATGTTGTTAAAAGCCGAATGAGGAAAATCCTTTAAAATACCAAGGCCTTCTGCATTAAGAAAAGAAAGAAAAAGATGTTAAAAACATTACTTGGAAACAAAAATATTATATTCTTAACTCAAGAATAGGGTCCATGAACCACATGGATATTAACAGTTGAAGCAATCAATTTTCCCTACTCCTACAGGGCTTTAATTCCACCGGGTTAGAACCATGTTAGTTACATTGCAGTGATGACAAGAGTAATCCCCACAGATTTCCTTCCAATTCTCTGCAGGAGCAGGGCTTAGCAGAGATGCACTCTGGACTTACATTTTGAAGGGGAACTGGTAAAAATCCCCAACTAGTAATTTCAATAAGTGAATTATCACTGGGTTCAGAACAAACTGCAAAAAAAATGAGCTAAGATTGCAACCTACCTAAGTGGAAGATGCAAGATTCTGCCAAGTCTTCAAAACAACTACTCTTGCATCTCATCTTTCAAATAACCTCCTTCCCATTGCATCTTCCTAAATCAGGTGGGATTTCATTATTATTCCTAATGCTGTGAAAGTCACAAGAATCCCTGGCTTTACCTCACTGTTCAAGTATGAAACTGAAACCACCCATATGGATTTCACATAGGATTCTTGCAGTCTTCTATCACACTTAGAAGTTTCTCCTATTGCCAGCCAGAGATAATAAACAACAAGACTGCCAGTGAGCAGAAGTCAGTGAATGGGAAACTCAGTTCAGAAGACTTTCTGCATGTTTTGGTTCACCATACAGAAATAGTGTTAGGTCCTTATAAGCCAGAACAAAAAGCCTTTTTATAAAAAGTGTGATTCCTTTATACAAAGTGAAGCCATGTTACAATCAAACTGCATTAGTGTGATAGCAACCTAAGTATTTAACAGCAGTAGTTTGGGTCAGTACCACTCTCTGAGAACAGACACATGCCAGAATTTGCTCATGTGAAGCTAATTACTGCATTTTCTATGTTTTTCCCAAATAAAACTCAATCTGATTCTAGGTTAACACTCCTTTTGAAGCTTTGTCCAAAGCCTTGATTAAAAGGCTACACACGAAACATGCCAGGCTGAGCTACTTGCTTCTTCACTCCGAGACATCAGGTATTAGAGAGTTCACCATAGGCTTTATAAGAAATGGTGGGTAATGCACCAGGGACAGCACTAACCTGAGGACTGGGACTTGGCCTCCCCGCTGGGGTAGAGCCGGATCAAATCGCTGCACAGAGGTTTTCCCACGTGCTGCTCTCCATCCAGAGCCATGTGCTGCAACTGCCTGCTCGGCAGATTGGACATGCGGAGATTCAGAGGTCTTTCACCTGCAAGTGGTTCACAGGGAAACACTGATGCATTAACAGCACAGCAGTATTAAAAATCAGGTAGGGACTTCAAGACATTCTATCTATCTATCTATCTATCTATCTGTCTATCTATCATAATTCTATCAACCAAAGTAAACCCTGAATTCCAGCTGCTCAGGGAAGACTTCTAGCAAAACAAGGCTTATGTAAATATGCTGCTTTGCAGACTACTCCTCAGGCACTGCTAGAGATAGACACTCAGCCAAACAAAAAAACCCAAACAAACACCAAATCTCTTATTCTGCTCAAAAAACCCCTTTGAGATTCTAAAAATTTCCACTCCCACTGGACAATGGGTAGATGGTATAAAGAAATTTGCACTATCAAGAAGAGCTGAAACCACACATCCAATTCTTCCTGTATACTTGTGTACAGTGTTGCTTGACCAAAATGTACAAATGAGAACCTGTTTTCACATTTACTTCTATCAGTTCCCTTAGTTCCTCTCTCTATTGCTTCCCCCCCTTTTGCCTTAAACAAACTAGCTCTTACAAAACATACACCAGAATTTCTAGTTGTATTTCTTCTTTTTTTAAGATTTTGTCTCATTTCACAACAGCAAAAAGAGAAATCCAAACAGAAAGCACTCAAACAAAACAAACACTCCAAAAATTAATTCAAGCTACAAAATAGCCAGTTGGTAAATCAAAGTGAAAACCACAAAACTGTAAGCTTTTTGAAGATCAACAAGCTACTAAGAACACCATTAGAATCTGCTTGGTTGCAAGTAATTTACATAGCGAGCTCCTCAGGTTTTGTTCCTAGAGTGCACAAACAGGTGAACAAAAAGGAGTACCAACTACATTATCTGCTTTACTTTCCATTTCCACAAAGCAAGAACATAAAAGAAATTCAATATTCTGTCCTATTTTCACAACTCAGGATACAGCCCACAATAATAATAGTGTGTCCTACCTTCTTCCCTCCCTGCGTTATCCACAGGGAAAGCAGTTTGCCCAGATACATCAGAGTAACAGCAGAATCTGACTGTGCATCAGATCCCACTATTTAGACTGTAAACACTTCAGGGCAGAGATCTTGTCTTGTCCATTCAGTGCTCAGTGTTCTGTTGGTGCTATACTAGATAAATAACACCACTGACAAAGGTTGCATAATATGAAATGCAGTTGCTGGCAGCAACTCCATGCCTGGAAGCTACCATACCTTGTCCATCAGCATTATCTAATGACATGCCATTGGGGCTGTGCTCTTCGGAGTTTTGTCTGTAACACCCTGTGGAAAGACGTCTCTCTAATGCAGCTTGGTTGCAAAGAAACTCCATCTGTTTTGCCATCACCTTTTCTGACTGCAAATAAAGCAAAAAAAAAATAAATCCCCCTATATACATATATATAGCAAGTCAAAACGCAAGGGGAAAAAAAACCAGCATCAGACAAGACTAACAGCCTAAATACAGGTTTTTGTTGACTCATATGTACAGATGTGTGCTTTACAGTTTCTTCAAAACAATCAAGCAAACAAAATATTTTTGCAAGCATAAAGATCTTCATACTCTACATCTGAGTCACTCTAGAATACTTTAAATTCAAAATTCCTGTCGTTCATCCTCACAAAAATGCAACGTGGAATTCTGTTCTTCGAAAACACACAGAAATCACTTTCTGCACTTTAGGCCTGCAGGTTATGTGAAGAGAATCGCAAGAAGAGCAAAAAATAATGTCTTCATTATCCAGTTAGCTCTGTTAAAATATATGTCTTCACAAAGTATTCCAAGAGCAATAGCAACATCTGCTAAAAACTTATGCCAAGATTTCACCAGACATCTTGGAATCTTTATTTTAGGAAACAGCACTACACAAGCTTAGAAATCTGCCATTCTGAAAGTGTAGGATGACAGTATGTTTGTGGGGGATAAAGGTGTGAAATGTCTGTCTAGAAGAAGAACAAGACCTATCCACCTCTAGAGAGTGAAATTAAACAATGCAGCGCAACGTGGGAGGAAATGCTGTCTGAACGTTTGTCATTGACTTTAATGCCAAGAGAATTCTAACTTTCCATATAATCTTTTTCTCAAGAATGTAAATAAGCATCTTGCAAAAATAAAAAGCAAATCACAAGTCAAGAAAGTTGATTTAGAAGAGCCACAATGAAGAACAGAAAGAACACCAACTTTGTATCAAAAGGAAAAAACAACAGTTTCTCTGACAGGTAATGCTGTAATTGTTCCAACTAGTACAGAGGCCTGTTAATTGCAGAGTACTTAACTCTTCTTGGGAGACAATGAAAGCTCAGACTTCCCATGAAAGTCTGCTTACTCAGCACAGTTCAGCACTCTACAAATACAGTGACAGCATGACAGACCAGCAAAATCTGGGCTTCTCCAGCACAGTAATGACCTGGACAGCAGGGTAATGACCAATATTTACTTACTCCTAGAGCTCATTGGGTTTGTTCTGCAAAAGAACACCGATAGCTCAAGCCTGCTGTTGAGAGGTAGGTTAAAAAGGAGCTATTTTCAAATAGTTGACTTCAAGTGTGCTTTAACTTTGCTGTTCTGTCACTCGTGTAAACTTTATCATTGTAAAACACTTTTTTAAAAAGAAAACCACACATTTCTCACTCATGCCATCTTTGGGTTTAATTGAGATGAAAACAAAGTATTTTAAACAGCAATAAAGGTTTAATGGTTTTGATCACCATAAAAACTTGTAGAGTTGCAAATACATTTAAGCTTAAAATAAGCCTCCACAAGATGAAAATAAGCTTGCAAAAATCAAGTTAATTTCATCATGTGACATCAAAACACGTAGCATAACTGCTTGTAGAGGTATCACGACAACCATATTGGTGTGACTGTCCACTGCTTTGCCACAGAAGATGGTAAAAGACAGAGTAACACATCTAGTCTCAGGTAACTCCTAAATGTAATCTCTGAAAATTTGGAAATTATGTTTGCCCGAATCAGCTATACAAAATAAATTTGTTGCAACTTAGTATGAAATCCCTCCTTGGCAGCAATGGGCAGTAGGAGATGCGTATTTTGTCTCAAGGCTGGGATGCACTTCAGAAAAGACAAAATAAAATCGGAAACCTGTCTTCATTTATAAATAGCTTTCTAGACACTTGAACACATGGCACTTCAACCAGGCTAGATGTTATTTAGAAAAGCAATTTATCCTCTCGGATCCAGAGGTTCAGTATTTCCTACATATATTGGCCTTTCTCCTCACAAGAAATGTCAGAACTGAGGACTCCAAGATCGCCTACTCTATTCCTCTCAGCTCAGTAACTTGAACTTTCCATTTATAGCTAATCACACAAGTAACACAGCACATGCTGTACCAATAGTACCCTACTTGCTCCCAACAGGCAATCACGTATTTTTCAAGCTTACTACACTAGACCTTACCTCCTGGAAATCAACAAGGTAAACCTGCAGCACTGTCAGAACAGCTTCAGAAGGTAAACCCAAATTGAGAATGATACAACCACAGCTAAGCTAGGTAGCCTTTGAAAATTGAAGGTTATTACTTTAGTCATAAAAAAAATACATCAAAATAAATCTACAAAGACATGACCTGTATTATCCAGTGTGTTCTGTATTTTATATACCTGGGAAGCTGCTGAGTCTTCACTCTTTC